GTTGAAGCCTCCTGGTTTAGGGGAAGGTGTCGCTGCCTGTGGATCCCTGGAAGTGTTGGAGCAGGTTGAAGCCTCCTGGTTTAGGGGAAGGTGTCCCTGCCTGTGCTAGGGGTGGGCTGGATGGGCTTTGAGCTCCCTCCCACACAAGGCATTGCATGATTCCATGATATGAGAGGCATGAGAAGGGAAGGACAGCGAGCTGTGTTTACCCAGCCCACAAACTGGCAGCAGCACCTCAGCCCCTCAGGTGTGAGCGGGATTTCTGAAGGCAAAACCCAGCCCCAGTTTGTGCAATGGTGGTGTTGGGAGGACACAGCTCCAGCTGAGGAGCACATTCCCTGCTGCAGGCCTACATCCAGATCACCTACGTGGAGCCCTACTTCGACACGTACGAGATGAAGGACAGGATCACCTACTTTGACAAGAACTACAACCTGCGGCGCTTCATGTACTGCACGCCCTTCACGCTGGACGGGCGCGCCCACGGCGACCTGCACGAGCAGTTCAAGCGCAAGACCATCCTCACCACCTCCCACGCCTTCCCCTACATCAAAACCAGGATCAACGTCATCCACAAGGAGGAGGTGAGCCTGGGCATGGGGGGAATGGGGCCTGCTGGTGCAGGAGGCTCCTTCAGCTCCGTTCCAGCTCAGTGTGGGAATGTTCCTCACTCGGGGTCACCAAACGTGGTGGTGTTCACAGGGGCCCCAGGATGAGGGAAGAGATGAGAATCTTGACTCTGTGTTTCAGAAGGTTGATTTATTATTTTAAGATATATATTATATTAAAAGAAAATTATATACTAAAAGAATAGAAGAAAAGATTTCATCAGAAGGCTAGTAAGAAATAGAAAGAAAATCTTGTACTGCTTACAGCTTCAACACAGGTGGCTGTCATTGATCATCAAGTAAAAACAGTTTCACATGCTGGGTAAACAGTTTTTTAAATCAGATTCTAAAGCAGCAAAACATGGAGAAGCTGAAGCTTCTCAGGAGAAAAGATCTTAACAAAAAAATTTTTCATTAAATATGTCCCTGACAGCTTAGGGGTTCCTAGGGATTTCTCCCTGTTGCCATTCAACCCAAAGTAAGCCCAGACTGATTGAGGGATGTGTCTGCCCCACCACCTCCACACCTGGTACATGGAGGAGCACTTGGAGAGCTCTGCAGGCTGGGCTGGGTTGGTGTCAGAGCAGCCTGGTCTTAGTTTTATAAATTATGAGTTTTATAGTATTTTAATAAATTAAAAATGGAGTTCTATTTTTTAATAGTTTTTAAGGATAAATTGTTTAATTAAAAAATGACATTTAAATGATTTTTATTTTTAAGTTAATAATAATTCATTATTTGTGGTTTGTAATGTGGATTTTTTATTTAATTGTATAATGAAGAAATTGAAGAAGAAGGATTAGTTTTTGTTTTATATATATTATTTATATATATAACAAAATTTATATATATAGTTTCATATATTATATTTTAAGTTTTTAAATTCTATGTTTTTTATTATATGGTATTATATACTTTAAATTATATATTTATGATCTAAATTATATATTTATAATCTTAGTTTTATTATTTAATTTTGGAACCTTTTTTTTATGGTTTTAGGTCAAATGTAATGTTCTCTTGGGGGTTAGTGTCTGTCAGCACAGAAAGTCTGAAATTCTCAGTAAGGAGGGTTCCAACACCACCCCACTGTGGCCTGGGTGTTGCTGAAGGTCTGTGCCTGCTTGCCAAGCTCAGCCATAACAAAAATCCTGTTCTGTTCCTTGCTTAGATCATTTTGACCCCCATCGAGGTCGCCATCGAGGACATGCAGAAGAAAACCCAGGAATTGGCTTTTGCCACCCACCAGGACCCTGCAGACCCCAAGATGCTGCAGATGGTGCTGCAGGGATCAGTAGGTACCACAGTGAATCAGGTGAGGATCCCTGTCCCAGCTGGGCTCTGCAGTGCACAGCCCTTGTTTCTCAATCCCCTGGAATTTGTGCAGTCTGTGGGATGTGTTTGGGGTCACTTAGGGCAGGGCTAGGCCAGCTGTTCCCAGGGATTTTGTATTTGAGTAAGAGTCTTGAAAATGTGAAAACTGGGAAGAAACATCCCTCCCTCAGTTGCTGCTCCTCCCTGGCATTTGCAGATGTTTCTGCCTGCTGCACTTCCCTGAACTTTCCCTTTGTTAGCCAGGCTCTGCAGGATTGTGTCCTGCTGTGGATTCTCAACAAAATGGAAAGCAGTGGAGAAAAACTGAGGAAAAGCTGAAGGAGCCTGAGTACAGCACAGTGCACAAGCTGGAAAGAAATCAGCTGGAGTTCTGAGGGCTGGGTTGAGTTTGTGGTGCTGGCAAACACTCCCTGGCTTCCATCTGCATTGTTTAAACTTTGCCTCAGTTGTGAGTTGAGCAAACTTTGTCAGGACTCCTTATAAAGGAAAACAAATGGAGAATCTGTGCAGTTTCTCACACTGTTTTCCAAAAGCAGAGTTTTAAATAAAACAAAGCAAGGCCCAAAGGCGACTCAGTTGTCACTGAGGTTGGTGATTTACACCAGATTTCCCAGCTGCAGCTCTTCAGGGTGCTTTGTGTAAGGAAATGTTGTGTTTTGGGGATGTTTTCTATGTGGCTGAACTTTCTCCAGTGATTGGATGTGACTGACAGTTCCCAGAAGCTCACTGTGCCCCTTCTCTCCTAAAGGGACCATTAGAAGTTGCACAAGTTTTCTTGTCTGAAATCCCCAATGATCCAAAGCTCTTCAGACACCACAACAAACTCCGCCTCTGCTTCAAGGACTTCACCAAAAGGTAAGGAAAGGGTTCCCAGGGCCCTGCCAGGTGCAGAGGCTGCTGCTGCCACCCCAGCAGGGCCACTGCAGTGAGCCAGGGCTGTCCTGCTGTCCCTCCAGCTCCCAGCTTCCCTGTGCTGCTCCTTCCTCTCCTGCCTGCCCTTCCCTGGCAGTGCTGCTGCTCCCGGGCTTTGTGGCCTTGCAGGGAGGAATTGATCCCAGCTCAGCTGTGAAATGTCCCAGAAAAATCACAACAGGCCAGAGCTCCCAGCCTGGCAGGGTCAGGTGGAACTGCTGCACTGGCCAGGAGATGAAATTTCCTTCTGAAGTGAATTTTTCCAAGCAGAGTGGAGGGATGCTGGCACAATTCCCTGGAGAAATGTGCTGGCTGCTCTACTTTCCTTGAGTCATGCAAACTGCAGCATCTTTTACAGCACCAAGAAATTTTAAAAACCACCAAAATAATTGAAATTAAAAAGCTGTGAGCAAATAGATCCAGTGGAAGCATAGTTTTCCCTTCTGAAATAAATGGCTTTACTGATACAGTTGTTTTCCTACCCTTTATTTAAATTACATCTTTGCAAGCAGAAGAGTTCTAGATGAACATCCCAGACTGCTATTTGTTAATCTCTCCTGATTCTATCCATCTTTAAATCCTCTGGGACTGGAAGCGGCTCTGTGGAAATTAGCTTTTCAATTCTCTTCAGAGAGGATAAATGTAACTGGAGGGTAAATGACCATAAAGAAGGAGTTGTCACTCTGGAAATGGGAGATGTGACAACCTCTCCTTGCCCCCTGGACACCAGGTGGTTCAGCTGAGCCCTGATGACCCAAAGACAGGACAGAGGGTATTCCCTGTGATCCCAGAGGGACAGAGTGGCTGTGTTTGTGCTGTTGGATGGACAGACCTGCAGCCAGGGGCTGTGTCTGCGTGCCCAGCCCTCTCAGAGGGTTTGTGTTGCAGGTGTGAGGATGCCCTGAGGAAGAACAAGAGCCTGATCGGGCCGGACCAGAAGGAATATCAGCGCGAGCTGGAGCGCAACTACCACCGCCTCAAGGAGGCCCTGCAGCCCCTGATCAACAGGAAGATCCCACAGCTCTACAAGGCAGTGCTGCCTGTCACGTGCCACAGGTGCATATTTGGGTTCCTCTCGGGGCACAGGGTGTGAAACTGAGGGCTCAGAGCTTCCCTGGATCCTGTGCCATCCATTTGTGTTTGGTCCTGGCTCTCCTGGCTGAGCCCGTCCCTGTTCCCTTCTGTCCCTCCTGAGAGCAATTCCCTTCCCAGCAGCTGTGGTGTTTGCAATGTTCCTTTTGTTCCTCAGCTAGGACAGTCGGTTTTTTGTTTGTTTCTATCCTGTATCCCATTCCTTTTAGATGCAAAACCACCCTCAGCAGGGCAGGACTTTATTCCCAGTGAAAATGGGATCGGGCGCTCCAGTGGGGGGGAAGTTGTTGCTGGAAAACCAGGAAGCTGGAGATTGGCTTTGTGTGAGACAGGACATAAAAATCCCAGTGGGAATCACAGGATCACAGAAGGGTTTGGGTTGGAAAGGTCTTAAACACCATCCAGTCCCACCCCTGCCAGAGCAGGCTGCTCCAACCTGGTCTGGAACAATTCCATCTTTGGGGTGGCCAAAACCTCCATGTGCAGCTCATGGATGAGCAGGGGGATTTGGGGTACAGCCCCTTTCCAGCCAGGCTGTGGCTCCCAGAACAGGGCCAGGAGATGTTCCCAGCAGGAATCTGGGATTTCTGTGGAGTTCCCTGGCAGCAGGGCAAGGCTGGATGTTCCTGCAGCTGAACTCGGGGGTTTCTGGCTGGGAGAGCTGCAGGAAGGTCCCTTCCCTCCCTGCCCAGCTTTGGGATGCTGCAGCTGTGTCCCAGCTGTGTCCCAGCTGTTCCCTGGCAAATTCTCCTGGCTGGCATGGTGGGAACACCAGAGCTTCCCTCCCCACCCAGCCAGGCACCCTACAAATGCTTTGGTGTGGTAATTATTGTCTGATCAGATAATCAGCCTAATACAGGTATGACATGAAATATCCTGAAAATCATAGAATATCCTGAGTTGGAAGGATCCCACAAGGATCACTGAGTCCAACTCCAAGTATTCCTGGCAAATCCCACTCTAGGGATGTGTTTGAAGGATTTAAATAAGGTTTCAGTTGTGCAGGTGTTTGTGCTGCTTCTGTGTGTACACAGGAATTAAACTTTCTGTCAGTGCTCTGGATGATACAAACCCAAACCCAAATCCTTGGAAAAGCAACGAGTTTTAATGCCAGTGGATTTAATTTTTGTTGTAACCAGCTCTAGGAAATACTGGAAATCAATTCAGAGTCATTCATCTGGTGAGGCTTCTTATTTCACCATGGAAAATCTGAGCTCATCATTGTATTTTCTCTCCCTCAGAGACTCCTTCAGCAGGATGAGCCTTCGCAAAATGGAAATCTAAACGAGTTAAAAACCAAAATAAAAAAAAAAAAAGCACTTAAAAAAATTAAGGTTTTGAAAAGAAAAAGAGCCTTGTTATCAGCGCTGGGAATCAAAGAAGTTTTATTGTGAAATAAAACTTGGACTTCATCCTGGACATCCCACACACCTCTTCCTCCATCAAAGTGTTCAGTGGCCAAAAAATCATTCTGAAATGTCAAATGTAGACTTCTCAATGTTTGAAAAGAAAAAACAACCATCATGGCAGTGCTATCCAGAGTATTGGTGAAGAGCTGTAAACTTACCTGTTTTTTAAGGCATTTTTATGACTCAAAGGTACACTAAACGCATTTACCTTTATTTATAGCATTACCTAATGTTAAATTTATTTTACTTTTAGTTCCTATATTTAATTTATATTAGGACCATACGCAAATGCATTTTGGAAGTTTTTAATGTAGTGATGATGCTGATGGTTATTTTGATGGTACTATTAAATATGTGAATGTTTACACTTTAATTCCCTGTGCATTGGACTTCAGGGCTCAGCATCCTTGGGGAAAAGGTTCAGAGCAAGGTAAGTCATGGTAACATTAATTAACAGAGTAATTTTTTAATTATAGCCTTATTTAGGGCAAAAAAACCTAAAATGTTATCACAGTTTAAAAGGGTAGAAAGCATTCTTTGCATTGCTGTTTATGTTTTACAGAAGATATTTTGGGGTCTAACACTGCACTTTGAGGAAACATCAGATTTGGAGCTGAGTCCACAACTCCTAAATCTTGTCCTTAATGTTTTTCCTCTCTGTGGTGAACAAAGTGCCCTGGAAGGGGTGGTGTGTGATTAAACACATTTATTCTGTGTCCATAAATACCTAAATGTGCATAAAAAGACAGATATACACACAAAACCTGATTTTTTTATATATATATATAGAGTATAAACATACTCTTTATATATATATATATATATATATATATATATATATATATATATAAAATTGAAGGAAAAATGGGTTTATACATGAAGTGCCCCCTCTTGCAGCAGCACTGGAGTTTAGGGTGGGGAGAGTCTTTTTTTCCTTTCTTGATAATTAATTTTTAGATTATTGGAGCCTTCTCCCATGCTCTGGTGTCCCAGCAGCTGCACAGTGTTGGTGCTTTGTGTGCCAGGCCCTGCAATGTTCCCTGAACAGAATAATCCTGAATTTGTTGTCTCACACCTGCATGGAGTTCTGTGCAGAAGGAAAATTCCAGACTTTTTGTGGATATTCCAAGGCTCTTGCAAAGCCCAGGGGTGCTGACAAGGCCTTGGAGGTGCTGCAGGAGTCAGGGAATCTCAGAATGGAAAATATGAAGGAAGGAGGGAAGGGCTTTGGAAGAGATTTACAGGAAGAGGCATTAAAAATATTTACACAGTGCAGACAAATCCCAGGAGCCATGAAAGGATGAAACTTTAATTTACAGCAGTCCTGCTCCAGGACAGGAGTTACAAACAACAAGTTCAGGGGGTGGCAAATGGTGCTTGAGTGAAAATCCCAAAAATCCACCCCCAGTCCCTCTCCCTGTGCCAGAGGAGGGGTTTGCATTCAGCATCTTCCACCTGAGGCTTTTTCAGCCACAGAGATTCTCCTCCCAGGCTGTGCTGGGATGATGGAAGGCAGCTGGGTCTTCCTGACATCCTATTTTGGTGTAAATAATGGTTATTTTGTTTGCTTGCAACATTCCTGATGCTGCAGTTGAGTGAAAAAGATCCAAGTCTTGCACCAGGTGTGGAAAAATAAACTTTCATTTGCAGGCTGAAATTCAGCAAAGCCTAAAAAATTGCATTCTCTAATGGGATTGGGCTGCCCATGCAAGGTAAGATTACTGATATTTTTGTAATGTAGCTTTTTCTTGGTTTAAACTCTGAAATTATTTATTATTATGGTGCAATGCTTTGGAAAAGGGAAGGTGTATTTTGTCACTGCAGATTTTTTTATGCTGCAAAATCAAGGCCTGTACAACAGTCAAGAGGTCAAACCTAAATGGAAAATGCACTAAAAGAGATTTTTCCTGAGTTACCTCCATGTTTATACAACATTATAATAAAAGATAGTAAAAATTAAGTATTGCAGAATTAACTAGGCAGAGGTTTTTAGGGTAAATAAATTAATTTGTAGTGGAAAAAGGTGAAATATATCCAGGGCTTTGGCATTCCATCCATCCTGGGACAGACTGACTGCACCATCTCCCTTTTTTGAGTCAGATTTGTTAAGATCTTAATGAGCAGTGTATGGGAGTCACCTTCAATTCTCTGACAGACAGTTTGGGATTTTCACCTCTAGTATTTAGTGCAAATATTTCTGGTTTTGCAATGTTTCCCCTTAACCTCACAACTGTAGTCAAAAAGTACCTTCAAATTAGGAGGTACTGTCCAAGAACCAGCTAAAACCACAGAATGTATTCTGGAAACAATTTCATTCTTTAAGATAACTTCCCAGCCTTTGTTAACTGTTCCCAAAGCCCTTTCCCTTTCTGCTTTCCCCTCTCCAAACACAACAGGCTGCTCTGCTTGGCTCAGATGTGGATCATAACTTTTTTATTTCATATGTACATTCTTAACAAAGCATCAAAGCCAAATGCTCTCCTTTCCCCCCGGTCTCAGTGAGCTCCAGGTACAAATTAACCTCAGTTAGAAAGTCACCACTAAGCTCCCAACCACCCCAAACAGATGCAGATTTGAGGGCTTCACTCTTCAAAGTACAAAATTATTTTAATTACACTACACTCTGCCCTTGGTTTGAAGTATTAATCACACCTATTTACACTTTGCTCATTAACACCTATGCACCAAGATGCAAATTAGACCAAACACTTGCATGAATTCAGTTCCCTCCAATGCTCTGGACAAGGTTCCCAGACTTTCCCTTGTGCTTCAAGTTGCAAGGAGCAGGAAAAAATGGGAGCAGGAGAATAAACCACGTCCATTACCCAAAGACTAAATATGAAATGTTACTTCCCAAGTTACAAAAATACACAACTTCTCATGAAATTTGCTAGTTAATATACATTTACTCCAGGGTATGAATACAAATAACTTTTATTTAAAAAAAAAACAACCAAAAACCAAACAAAACCAGGGGGAAAAAAAGAAAAAAAACAGAAAAAAAAAAAAGAGAAAAAAGGTAAAAAAAAGCTAATAATACAACAGGCATGTCTGAGACCTAGAGCTGCATTAAAACCACTACTGGGTGCTGTAGGCATCGTTTAGAATCTATACAAACTGGTATTTCTAAAAGGTCAGAGCACTATTCTGCAGCAGAAAAGTTACGGTGTGAGTCAAGTCCTATGTCATGTTTTGTTAATTCAAGTCGAGCCACTGGACACCGAAGGAAAAAAAGACCAGAAAGATGAAGAATCAGTAGCTTCAAAAAACAAACAGCCGCTGCTTCCAGGTAGTTTGGATGCAAATCAGAGCCAGAGGTGTATGCAAATCCCAAATATTTACAGTCCAAGTACAGCATCACTCTACAATTTTCTTATAAAACAGTAGGTAAGGAGTCGATGTGGATGACGACGTGGGAGAAAGAGAATTCAGGAAGTCCTTTTCCTCTGTGACCTTCACTTCGGAGTCATCGAAGAGCAGCCACTTGCCCTCGTACTCCTTGAGGCTCTGGAGCACGTAGAGAGCTTTGTTCTCCAGAGCTTTGTTCTCCAGAGCTTTGTTCTCCAG